TAGTTATATAAAATCATTTATTGATTTTAGATAATTATGACAGGAATGCTATGTCACATTTTTACTGAATCATTTGTTTAATGTCTTAATCAACTGTTGCACCCTGTGCTTCTTTTTAAGATTGATATTTTCTTAGTTGTTAATCAAACCTCGCCATCTGAAATTAGTTTTTATAAACTGGACTTTTTGAAACAACTTTACAAGCTATCTCTGTGGGAACGATAATCTGGTACTTTTTACCATTATTACTTGTTACGAGACGACAGTAGTTCGAGGTGTATACTTGCGCCGAGTTCTATTTTTGTGTTGGAATCTAAGGTTGAATAAACCGACGAGCAGCTATGCTCACTGTCATTCCATCGACAAGTGACACAAGCCAAGCCTATGAACGCTCGATGTTGTCCCAAGAACCAATGGCAGCCACCCCGGAGCACTTAGAGCCGTCCCCCCCTCCAAGCAAGGGAGCACAACCATCGTGCTTCCCCAGGCCCTCACCAACATATTTCCCTACCTACTACCCAGAGGGCACCCACATCCACTATCCCTGGCGATCAAAGGCAAAGGGATATTGAAACAGGACGACCCAGTCCAATCCAAACCCAAACTAGCCATCCAGAGACCATCCTTCGAGCCTCTGGAGATGAACAAGCCGAGGAATCTCATACCCCATCACCCCTCTCTTAACAGAGAGGTGATGAAGAGATAAGAGCCCATTCGCCTCAGGGCTCGCCACAACCTCTCACATACACAAACGCATTCGTTGTTTCTAATGTTGAACCCATAGATCGTTCAGAGCGATCTTCATTTTGTGCACCACTACCCTCGGTATTTGATCTACCAAAGGGTACACACATCCGATTCACTTACTCAGCCTCTGAAGCTGAAGAAGAGGAAGAGGATGTCCAAACATCACGAGATAGTTCTTCTCTCGAAGGCTATCAAGGACATGATGGAAGTCCTTCGCGGCCTACCTTCACATAAGGCCAAGAAGGCGCCTCAGGAACAGAGGCACAACCTGCAACATCCGTTGCTGCAGGGGTTACACCCTTAGTCGATCTGGTCACCAAGGCTGAGCTCCAGGCCTTTGTTGATACAATTCCGCGCCTCATGCTCGAGCAGCCGCCCAAGCAAACGGCAACGCCACGATGACCAAGACCCCGATGATCAAGGTCTTGGACCTCGTGAGGCTGCATATACATCTCCATCCGCTGCACCAACGCAACCACCATCACAACACCAATGAAAAGAAAATTTGTCATCCAATGAAAACTTGGAAGTTGATGTTTTTCTTCTAGATTAGTGTCTGTTCTTCATAT